CAGGAAGAGCATCATGCATCTCAAAGCTGTTCTTGCTGTTCACTGCAGATATAGAAAATCTCTAGGTGGACTCTGCACCCTAAAACCTTGTGCCCCCCATGTTGCTTGAACAAACAGGGCTGCTGGTGAGTGCCTGTCCACATCCTGACTGCTGTGCTCTTTACTGCTCTAACGTGTTAGTGTCAGTCCTGGGACCAGGATTGGAGCTGGAGGGATGAAGGGAGCACGACTGAGATACATCAGCCACACTATGGTGGGAACCACAGCTGGATCTGCCACAGGCATTGCAGGGCTGTCCCGAAAAGCCTCCTCTTTGTCTGCTAAACTGTATTCTATGGTTTAAACTGGGCTGACATCTCTTTGGAGAGCACCAAATGAAAGCAGAAACAAGGAGTCTTGGGAAGGAGAGCAGTATACTGGTCCCTAATTCCAGCAGATTAAATCTGTCCTACAGTATGCTGAACTCACTACCTAAAGGGTAGGATATTGCATGTCAAGACTTAAATGGAGACATTTTGAGGCTGACTTCCCAATTCAGAAGATGCTGTGGGGTTTTGTTTTGCATTGGTTTGGGTGTTTTGTTTTCAGATTGTGAAATGCAGTGCCTTTTATTCCTAACAAACTCATCAGGCAGTTGGAGACCATACTCCATAGTGAGCAGATAGCAAAGTTCCTACTCTGTGCTTGGGTGGGGTCTTGCAAACAATCCCTTAAGTACCCTGTTTGTTTTCTTGCTGTAAAGGGACACTTGTCTTTGAAGGAAAAAAAAAAGCCAAAACAAAGTCAAATAGGGAATAACTGGGAGCAAACAGTAGAAAACATTTCCTAACAATAAGGGCTGGAAAACTCTGTTCCTTGCAAAAACAACCATAAGTGCAAGAGGCTACACCCCAGGCACACTGGGGAAACACGGGAAAGCCACTCTCTGACCTGGAAGAAAATGGGGAGGAAAAGTTTCCAACCCAGTTACAAAACTGCTCGACTCTAGCCACCAAGGCCAGATTTAATATGATTAGACTGGATACCCACTGAGTTTAAAAGCCATTGTTGAATGTGTTTGTAGTGAAGTGGCAGAGATTCATAGCTGGGCTTGGCTTTGGAGCTGAGGATCCAGCAGAAGGGAGCTTCATGGAACCATGGGGCTAAAGCCTGTGGGCTTCACCTCCCTGCCTGGGAATGAGCCCTGCTCCAGCAAAGCCACAGCCCAAATGGGCAGGAAATGGGTTTGACAGATGAGACAGGCATGGGGCTAATGGCTCCTGTGACTGATGGGGCAGGCTGTGTGGCGAGACACTGCTGGATGAGCTGAAGGCTCCATTAGAATGAAACTGGAGCATTGCACGGGATGCATATTACTGATTGAGGTCTGGGGCTTACTGGATGAGGGCGAGCTGCTGTAGAGTTCCAGGGGGCCATTTACACTGCAGTGGAGGGAAAAAAGCAAAGTGAAGCTGTGCATTGGACAAAAAAGTCGATGAAAAGATCTGGGTGGGAATGTGCACATTGCCTGATATGATTTGGTGTCCCAAATGGCCTTAAACAGCCCATAGAATTTCTATGTCTAAACCAGATTCCTGCAAACGAGACCTTTTATGATGCACTAATAGGCTCATTAGGCTTTCTTGAGCGAGGCAGGCTCACAGCATCCAGCATCGTATGTTTTTTCCATTACAGGAATTACACGTGTTTTGTTGTGCTTTGGGTTCTGTTTTGTTTTCCACATAGGCTTGCCCTGACAGTTTCCCCCATTCAGGTTTATATTGGAGGTACCATCTCGAGCCAATGAATTTTATGAAATATGTTGCTGGCACTCACGGAGAGATGCATAAAGGAAATATTCTAATGACAGTTGGGAAGGCTTTGATCGCTTTCCAAGACTGCACTCATGTCTTTGAAATGCGAGTTTGGCAGTGCTGGAAAGGCTGGGCTCTTTGGCTCTCTTTGGCACGAGCCCATGTGACAGACATTATGTCCTCTATCAGGGGACCCACATAACCTTGAGAAGTGTAAGCAGCGCTCGCAGATTGCATTGGGTCAGATAGTCTGGGCTGATAACAAAGCAGCCGCGGCAGCAGGGGGGAGGCAGCCTCATCCAATGCAATAACTGAAAGCTATTTTGACCTGGTAACTGTTGGGTCTGCTGCCTGCGGCTACGTAGTTGGACATGAACTGCAAAAGTAGTTAATTTATGCCTCCTTGAGTGTAGGAATGTGGTGATGATGGATAGGGATGGGAGGTTATTAGAAACACGGGGAGGAAGGAGAGGATAGAATTCCAGCTCGTGTTTTTATCTCTTACACACACACACAAACGCTGGTTCCTTTGCATGCATACTCTTGGCTGTCTCGCATGTGTGCACAATCCAAAGCCTTGCTTACACACTCACACCTCAGCTCATGCACGCACATGCAGGCACATGTCCACACGCTTACAAGGGATTTGCCTGAGCTAAGTGCTGGAGCATGTTTATGTGTTGGGGGTTGCTGACTGCTTTTACTGCACTTTCTTCCTCCCAAACATGATCTGCCTACACCTAGTCCTGTGCAGCCCCTTTGCTAAAAATCCTCTGGACATTCTGTTCTTACACCTTCTGAATATATTCATTTGCAGACTTATATTGGCTGGCAGAGAAATGGTGGTCAGAGAAATGCCATAAAGCCAAGTCCAGTTGAGTTGGTGGATTTACGTAAGAGGAGTTCAGTCTCAGTGATGCACTGACATCATTTAACAATTAGTTAAATGCTGCCTGCTCTGGATGTTGTCTGCAGTAATAATCCACGTACCTAGATGTTGAAGCACAGAGCCTGTGTGCAAGTGAGGGAGCGCTTGTGGCCATGCACCGAGGCTATAAATGGGGATGGGATTGTGTAAACAATAAGCAAAGAGACAGCTGAGAATAAAGAAATGTTAGTTTAGATTATTTGAAACCATAAGAGAAGAGTGGGGATAAAAATGGTAATCTCAGGAGGGGAGTCTGATTATAGTTACTCCTACAGGGATTTGCATAGGCCATGGAGTGCCTGCATCCAGAGTCAACAACCACAGTCTCAATACAGGCCTTTCTTTCCCACTGTGATACAAAACACACAAACGTTTTTCTACTTAGAGATACACAGTGCTTCTGTTTCTGTCCTTTTCTTTCTTGCACAAAGCATCACACCACTCAGACATTGTCTCTTACGCTTTTGCTCACTGTCTTCTACTGATGCTACCGTACTTGTACACATACACATCCTCCCCTTCCCATGCATGCATCCTCCATCACATATTGTCCCAATGCACTTATGCTTTCATCTGGAAATGTACATTAGTTCTCATGTAATCTCAAACTGTTGCGTGTGGACACATATGAGCCCATGTTTAGAGGAGATGTTTTCAAAGGCACAAAGAAGATCATGGACATAGATTACACACAGCCTCAGAAGGTTCTGCAGATACATGCAGAACAGGCTTGAGGAGCTAAGGGGAAGATGTGTGTGTTTTCCATAGATGTGTTGGGAACAGTGGAGAGATGAGAAATGTGTAAGGGGTCACAGTGCTGACCTGTCCTTCAGGATGTCATCCACATCTGATCGGAAGATAAACACTGTATGGAATGGAAACATACCCTTCCACTGGGGTCCCCAAAGAGCACGTCTTCCTCCATGAGTCAGCGAGGGCCTGGGGACACCCAGCCGTGTGCTATTTTGGAGGCAATGACTTCAGCAAGTGGCAGGGGAAGCTATTGTGGAAATATGAATGTGTTTTCCATTGGGGAGTCCTCCAGGGAAGGACAGAAAGATCTTGGTGTTGATCCAAGTCCCCTGTTTTTTCTTCACCCTTCTGGGAACGAAAGCCTTGCAAAGTATGCAAGGAACCCTATTCACTGAATGTGTTTGGTTTGTGAGAGCTGTGTGAGCCCCATGAACACCCATACACAGATGGAGAGGGGGACTTTAGGAAGCAGGAATCAACCTGCTCACGACCATCATGGTGTCCTTTCCTTACAAGCTAGACAGCCGTGCTTGACTCAGTGTGATCTCTCTGTTGTTTCCACCTGTCAAGTGAAGACAGTGCAGCTTACCTGGGTTTGAGATCTTGTGTTAGCATGCTTCATATCAAGACTGTGAGCTAGAAACAGAGAACCAATGGGTTACTCTTATGCTTCACTTTCTCCAGCTTTACTCTGTGTGCATCACAGTTCCAATGGAAGCAGTGTTGTACCATGGTGCATGCCCTGTGAGTAGCTCCTCTATTCCAGTATTGACAAAGTCTCCTCCCTTAAAGGAGTGCAAAGAGTGCTTCCAATGGCCATTAGGCTTAAGGGATTGGCTTATCTGCAAGCAGATTGCTCTGTAACCTCCAGGCATACCAAAAGTTAAGAAGAAATACAGCTCACCAGGGAGGGGAACACCTAAGGAGCCTTAGGAATTGATGTCACAGTATGGTACCGCTCCTGCAGAGATGTCTTGCCAGGAGACCTTTTGGCACAACTTGGCTTTCAATAAATAGCAATTTCCAAGCATCCAGTGTCAAGGTTAGACCATCTGCATCCTCTTACAAGTGGCTGGTGCTGGTGCTAAAGGAGGAACTTTGTGAGCTGGTGTGTGTTGCTGCACCAGCCTGAAGATGTGAAACTTGTCGTGAAGGAAGATTAGAGGTAACAAACAGCCTAGAGGGAATGTGCAAGGTAACTGCTGATATAAGAGATTTACTGACCATAATATGTGGTTAATTACATTCATAATAAGTAGATTCCTATACTTATCTTCGGAATGTGTACAGCTTTATGGATTTAGCTTGGATTTTGTGGCCTCAGTTAATCAATGGCCTGATATCCTTGTATAAGATTCACTGTATGAATGCAAAGCAATCAAAGTTAGGGAGTGGGTTATTAAAATATCTCAGGTGACTGTTATGCAGGATATTATAAGATCTTTGCCTGGATTGCAGCACTTCTTCTATACTTTGTGGCTTTTCATGTCACCTTTAGAAAACAAAATGCTTTTCTTTTCCTACAGAGCATACTTGGATGTCAACGAACTGAAGAACATCCTCAAACTGGATGGATCCACACACCTCAACATCTTCTTTGCCAATTCCTCCGAGGAAGAGCTGGCTGGAGTGGCAACTTGGCCCTGGGACAAGGAAGCCTTGATGCATCTAGGTGAGCAATAAAGATGTTTCTTCTTTGTAAAGCATTCTTCTGAGGCACTAAGAAGGAAAGACAAATATGCTTTAAGCTCTGTTCTGATTTCTTATCATTCCTCTAATATATAGTCAGGGGAAAAAAAGTATTTCACGATTCCCAGATACTGGCTCACAACCAGGAAAATATTAGGTTATAAACCCAAAGCATATTATGGTATTTGTAGATGATGTCAAGCTGAAAGTATTTCACCTTTTAAGTGAAGCTACTTTACAGGGCATTCACTCCATGGGAGCACTTTGCAAAGAAGATTTGGGGAGATAGGTGTGGGGATGCTAGACAGAAGTGAATTTTTAACCTCAGCCTATTATGTTCTGATCCTTAGTTCATTCCTTAGTAAGTGTTCAATTAATTTCCCTCGCAGCTGAAATTTGTGGCTGTTTTTCTCTACCAATGTGCAAAAGAGCAAACTGCTGAGAGATTGTATTTCTAATGTTCATTTGAGTGGAACTAGAAGGAGTTCACAACCCTGTGGATTGCCTTGCATGTTTCATAACAAGGTTGCTGAGTATGGCTGCTGGAACCCAGGCATCCAGACAAAGCTGTACAACCTCCCAAATGACTCATTGCCCTCACACCCGCAGTGCCACTGGACCTGTGTTCCTTGCAAAGTGCCAGATGAGCCTGGTTCAGAAGGCACCTACTGAGTGTGTAGGTACTTCTCTGAACTGCACAAACCTCCCTCGGGCTACAAACCTCATCTGGTCATCTTATAAGAGCAGGGATTGTCACAGATTTCCCAGCTATTTTCTAGCTTGTCCAGACCTTCCAAAGCTGGAAGTGAAGTCCAGTTTCTGCCAAGTTCAGGCTTTATGAAAGGCGTTTAAGCCAGTTTTTATATTACCCAGCCCCATCTTGAGCGAAACAGAAAAGCTGTGGCAAATGTAAAGCTAGATGAGGAGAGTAAAATATGATGTTTATTATTCTAAAGCATATTGTGAGAGCTGAGCTACAGCTCGAGCCATCAGTCAGGGAGGCTTTTCCATGCTCAAAAATGTATTACGCCAAATCCTAGATGTTAACATCTCTTTATAGTCACCATAGCTGAGAGAAGCCCCATGGTTGGATCAAGCCGTTGCCCTACCTCAGTTAGTGAATGCTTTATTGTGACATGCAACTTTGCTGCTGCTCTGGCAGAACTGCGAGCAAACTTCCCAAGGACTGGCACTGACACACATCCAGTCTCCTGCTGAGCTAGGCTGGAAGTGAAGCCACTTCCACTCTGACTTGCCTCCAGCCCCTTCTCCATGGGCTGCTGCTTGGAGCACCAAGAATAGAAGATGCTGTGAATAAATGCCTGCCAGTGAGCATCCCCCACAGCAACATCTGGCAAAACCAGAGATAGATATTAACCCCAGCCTCAGCTGGAACCCACACTGATGTGATTTCTATCACTTTGTAGTACCACAACTCCCTTCTCCTGCACTAGTAACTGTTTGCTTCTGATTGTGCAACAAGGATGGGTTTGCTGGTGGGAAACATTAGCCCTAATGCCAGTGCTGGAGTGAGCTAAGGCTGCAGCGTAGCTGATCCTGCCATAATGAGTAGTTTCACAGCTTCCCTTGGTGTTGCCATGGGAGGGAGAAGAGAACAAGGAGAGAGCTCCAGAGCGCCAAGAAGAGCCTTCTGCAAGAGGGCTGGGGCCTGCCCAAAGCCCTGGTGAGTTCTTCTGTCACTTCATTAAGCTAATTGTCACCATCATGCCTCAGCAAAACAGTTTCAACTGAGCTCCTACAGTGTGTTGCCAGAATCCATTGACCAAGACAAGATTTCATGGGAGAAAAAGACATTAACCAACAGTTTAAAGTTGATTTGAAGTGGGGAAAAAGTAGAATAAATAAATAATGGTCATAATTTCCTGTCCAAATGGCCCTCCCAGACCTGTGTTTGCTCTGTAAGAATTCAGCTTGAATCTTTTTTTACTCTCTTCTATAAATCCAATATGTCCTTAATAAAAAAATATGAAATATGTCCTGTGGTGCAGATCTAAAGGCTGGGATAGAGATTGGCTGGGTGAGGGAGTTTATCTTTTCTGTAAAACTGCACTTGATTTAGATTCTTGACAGCTGTGAAAAATGTAACTTTCCAACAAAGGCAAAAAGCAAATCTCTGTCTCCAGCTGCCTCGGGGCTGTCCAGAGCCAGAACCATTTACCCAGCCTGTGCTTTCAGAGGCACATCCTGCTGAGGAATTCCACCAATACTCCTGCTATTGGAAAACAAACTCTGGAATTATCATTGGGAAAGAGACCCTCACAAAATACACTCTCTGGGTTGAAATATCTGGGTAGAGACCAAGCACTGGAGGAATCAGAGCATGGATTGTATAAAGGGGGATTGAAGTGGTTACGTACTGGTAGGCTGTATATAATTTGGATGGACGAAAAGGAGCATTTCAGTGCTGTGGAAGGGATGTGCAGATGCTGCATGCAGCATAGTTGTTGCAGTGTGATTGATTTTGTTCACTCTTTTTAATCTGTATTTAAACTTTCAGCTCATTTTTTAAAAGACTATATATGTATTTATACATGTCCACATGACTTCTTTGCACTGTGTCCATGTAGTCACACATGCCCATACACAGTCTTTCTTATGTTCCTATGCATAGGTCCCTGCAGGACATCGGAAGGGGTCTTGCCTCTGTCCTCAGCACTGATAAGATTTCAGGTGTATTGTGTTTGGACACTTGGAGGAAAATGTGAGACAACTGGGAAGGAAAACCAGTGGAGAACCACAGTCAGGAAGGACTAAAGAAAGGTTGAATGCATTAGTTATTTAGACTGAAGGAAAAGAGTCTGAAGTGGGCTTGATGACAATCTCATAAAATCTGATGAAAGGGGAGGAGAATCTTTTGTTCTTTGTACCTGTGTGAGGCAGGACTTGAAGTCATGAACTTAAATTGCCAACAAATCAATTCAGATTAGATGTGAGTTAAATCCTTGCAGCCGCGAGGATACTGAGTGCTGAAATGGACTGGTGGGGCAGTCATGTCATCAGGGGTTGTAAAGAGATGTTAGGGCAGTATCTGTGAGGGATGGTATAGACCTAACTGGTCCTGTGTTGTTTGAGAGTGGAGTTTAGGTGACTTATTAAGATCTTCTCAGTCTTATTTTCCTCTAATTCCATGATTATTACAACCAAGTGTCCAGGCAGATGAGAAGGAAGAGTCAGGACTCGGTGATCTCATCTTCCCTGCACTGCAGTCACCGATAGAGTTCCTCCTGCCAGAACCTTTCCTCTCCTCATTGTCACTAAATTAGTACTGTACCATATCCAAGATTTATTCTCCCACTTCTACAGAGCAGTGTCCTGTTCTCATGGAAGGCAGTATACACAAACAGTTTTAAATAAAGGGCTTGGAAAAGGTGAGCTCAACAAGCTAAATAAAGAAAATCTGAAGCGTGTCATAAATCCGAAGGTACATCTAACTGAGCTAAAAATATAGTTATGATTAATTCAATGTACTGTCGAGCCTCACTAATTTACCATTTGCTTATCTACACATCCCATAATTCATACAACAAAAACAAGCACCCTTGATTTTCTTTGCGCACATTTAACAACCACAGAGTTCTTTTAGAATTAGCACATTCCAGGATTCCATCGTTTTTGACACATTAGACTGATGCATATTCATTAGTGGACTGTGCAGTTCAGATCAAACCAGCCTTGTCTGGGTGTATGAGCAGAGTGTGTTTGTGACAGTTACTTCAAAGCTGTCTATCTGATTAGAGCACACCCTGCAAAAACTGTTCCAGCCTTGGTGTGTGCTGTTTTCTTTGTCCAGCTCTTAGTTTGCAAACATTGGTACAACTCACTGCAGTTTTTAGGGTGTTTCAGAAGTTAATAGGCTTCTATTATACCTTTACCCTGTGGAATAATATGCAGAGAGTGTTTCAGGTATGCTTTGACTGTTGGTATCGATACATTGCTTACACTTATCTGGGCAGAATCATTCTCTTTAAGCACATTAAACTATTTGCAATTGCATAGCAGTTGTATGTAGGATTTCTCTTTAAATTAACACAAACCAAACTAAGGATATTCAGTCGAAAGACCAATTGCCACTGTGGTTTTGGTTTAGGACGTTGGGTTTGTCCCATCGCTCTTTCTCCTTAGAGCCCCAGTCTAAGGGTGAGATTAAACCTTGTTGTGCAGTTTCTCTGAGCAGGCAATGTGCCTGACAGTGCAAAAAGCAGCCCATGCTATAAAGGATCCGATGAACTGCCAGAGGATCTGCCCTTGGGATTGTCTTCCTTTGCTGTTCTGTGTAAGACAAGGCAAATGTAGAAGCTGTTCTCTTTTCCCTTTACAGGTGGCATTGTGCTGAATCCTTCCTTCTATGGAATCCCTGGCCACACACACACAATGATCCATGAAATTGGGCACAGCCTGGGGCTCTATCACGTCTTCCGGGGAATCTCAGAAATCCTCTCCTGCAGCGATCCGTGCATGGAAACAGAGCCCTCCTTTGAGACTGGGGACCTCTGCAGTGACACCAACCCTGCTCCCAAGCACAAGCAGTGTGGGGATCCTGGCCCTGGCAATGACACGTGTGGTTTTCACAGCTTCCTAAACACTCCCTTCAGTAACTTCATGAGCTACGCAGGTACTTGGGTTTCCTCAGCTTGCTGCTGGTTGGGCATGAGCAAAGAATACAAGTATTACCTCTGATTTCCGCAGTCCCTTTCATGTGGGGCTCCATGCTGACTCCTGTGTCCTTTGGTCTAGGAACAGGCTTGATAAAGGATCAGATTTGATGGCCTCAGGACTCTCTTCCAGTTCTCCTATTCTTTTCTTTCCCACCTTTCCCCAGCTTTACACAGTTTCATGTGAAGCCCGGGCAGAAGGCTTTGGGGAGGGGAGAAATGAGATAAGCATTAAGAAAACAGCTTCTAAAGGCTCTACAGCAAATTTAACACCTTGTTTCCCTGGGATCTGGATGCCTCATCTATGAGGTCTTCTTTGGAAACCCCAGATTCAGAGATTTACCTTCTCCCAAGGCGATATCGAGTGTCAGATGAGTATCGATGCCACCAAGGCTGTAGGATAAATCTGTGATAGACATCTAATGAGACACTGCTCGTGCCTCCAGGTGTCTGCTCAAACACCATGTTTATTGTTTGATTTGGAGTCACTGTGGTTCAACTAGAATTGCTCATGCAAGTTTCATCATTAGAGTGGGATATACTGGGATTGTACCTGGTCAGGAATGCTCTTCTGGTCAAAGACCACCAATATGCTGTGCTGGTTTGTGCTGGGAGTGCAGCTAAAAAGGCTACATTTCAACTGTGTGGAGCCACCCCTCCAAGAGGAATAAGTTACTCAAGCAAAAACCTGATTTTGAGGTTATAACTTCCATAGGCACAGCTGTGCTTTTCAGAGGTGCTGGTTCATGGCACTCCTACCAACAGAGAGTAATACAAAGAATCCATGAGCTCCTGTGATGCTTCACATTGGACAAGGGTGGGCTGGGGGCCTTACTGCACCCCTGCAAGTTCAAGGGGAGTTGAATGATCCTCTGTTATTTCCCAGAAAGAACCAGGGATACCTTAGCTTGTATTTCCCCTTATTTTGGGTCACGGGGTCAAGCCATGCTGAAGGTCTGTGACACTGAGCTGACAGCATTTTAAAGGTGACCAATATCCTTATAGCCACTGAAGGGCACCTTTATACACTAGGCAAAAACACAGATTGCCCACTCAAAAGGTCATAGGAGTGCTTACTCTGTAATAAAAGTGTAGAGAAGCGAAGTGTTTAATGTCATCTGGGGCACAGATTGAAATGATTTATAACAGCAATGCTTTTATGCTCTCCGTGGCCCTAGCTAAAAGCAATGCTTAGTTTTCTCTTTATTTTCCTATTTGTTTAGAGGGTGTTTTCAGGGACAAGCATGCGCACCCTGAGACAGCTCCCCAGCATGCTGTGCACTTTACTGTGGGGCAGAGCCTTAGAGCTTGATGCAGCCTCCTGTAACATGGCACAAAGAACTCTTGAGATGACAATCCCCATCCACCAGATCTACTGGGGTGTGTGCTGAGGGGTGGAGAGTGCTTGTTGCAAAACCCTGAGGTCTCTTCTTCCAAAGAGATCTTGCCTTCCCAATTCTCTCTCGAGAGCTGAGACAGAGACAGACCACAGAGATATGGATCTGCTCTTGGGAACTCCATATGTGCTGGCGTTCCGAGCAGAAACCTGCTTTTTTTTTGTCTTGAAAAATTAAGTGAAGCGACATGATAGGTATCTCTAGAGCTCATGCATGAATCGGGTTGTTTTCTGTTGTTGCCAGTGGAATAAAAATATACCAGGATATCAAATTGCTGTAGGAATACCTTTGAAACATTTAGTTGAGGTCATGTAGCTCTAAGCATTGCCTTGCCTTTCTGTTTTGCTGCTTGTATGCAGCTTGATCATATTGTGTTTGTCTGATGTGCATCTGTCCAGTTATCCCCAGCTGTGTAGCAAAGCACTGATTTAAAGGGTAACTTTTCTTTCCCTAAATAACAAGTTTTGATGTCCAGAAGATCAAGAATGTAAGAAATTGGGCTTGTAAATTATTTTTACAAGTCCAAATAGCCGTGGTGTTCCCAAATAAAAAGATAAATCTTTTAGATGATCCTCCATGAAGTCGGCAGGAATTCTGCCTCTGAATTCTGTTGGAGCAATCATCCCAGCAAAGACTCCTGAATTTCTCTAATTATTACTTTATCTGAGGATCTTGAACCCTTCTTGTCATGGAGGGATTCATTGAAATACCTTCCTCCCTCGCCTCTCCTCCCTTGCCTCCCCCAGGACACAGCCTTTGCTGATGGGGAAGCAGATTGGGAATGCAGGTCATCTTTCTCCCATGCCATTGTCTCACTGCTTTGTCCTATATATACTTTATTGTTCCTTTATGATGGCTGTTAAGGGCTTTTGTCTCCTTCTGTGCTTCCGTGAAGAATATTTATGGCTTTTACAGCATGCTCAGGGGTAGACCATCGATAATTATTGAGGATATCCAGGGGTGTCAGATTAAAGCAGCCTTTTGCGTACCCACAGGGATTTGTGGATATTTTCAAGCTGGTGGTGGCTGTCTATCTACTGGGTATGTTTGATGACAGGAGGTTCACTGCTCAGTGGAATTAGGAGGGATGCAGGAGAACATGAGAACAGACATGTCCTTCCCGTGGTAGGGCTGCATCTGAGGCTGTAGTTTGAGCAGGATCCCAGCCGAAGCTGTCTCCTTTTGCTTGCATCTCTGGGAAGATGTGGCAAGGTTTTAAATTAGCCAGCAAATTCACACTTCTCTTTAGAACAAATTCATGGGGTTTTGTGCCTCTTGAGTTGCACAGGGCACGGACTTGAAGAAATCAGAGCATCTAGTAACGCTATTACAATATTGAGCTGCCAACTTACACTCAGGCAAACAACTCTGAGCAGCCTCCAGTGACCTGCATCTTCCCAGAAAAGTGTATTCCTTGACCTGTGCCAAACTGTCATTGTTGTTTGTGTCACAGCAGCGTGCAGAGGTCCCATCTGGGACCGAGCGTCACAGGGCTAGGAACTCTGCAGGCACATGGGAAGAAACACTCCGTGCTTTCAAGAGCTTTTCATCAGATGGGAAGAGAACCAGAGAAATGGTTCAAGTGCAAGCATCAAGTTCTTCAGCACAGCGTCTCCGGGTGACTTTGCACAACCTATTTATTCCTTCTGTGATCTGCACAATAGAGAAATAGTAATTTGCTGCTTCTCCGGGGCATTGTAGTTGTAAAGTTGCGTGGTGTGCAGAGGGCACTAGATGTGCTCTTGTTGCCAAATCATGTTTGGGGAAAAACAGTTGAAATGAGAAATGGGAATTTGTGGGAAATTATCCAGCAAAATCATTTCTTCATTTTGACTGAGAAAGAAATTGGAAATATCAAAAAAAAAAAAAAGGGGTTATGGAAAGCTCAGAAAGGGCTTGAATCATAATGGTAATGGGGGAGATGTTGAATAGAAATAACGTTATTTTCCTACCTCCAAATTTACTTTTTTAATCATGATTTTTTAAAAAATTGATCTTTCGGAACATTTTTATTTGTTCATTAAAAAAATGAGGAACTTTATTAAAGTGATGTATTTTAAAATTCTGTGTTCTTTTAATCTAAGAAAGGTGTTAAAGTCTATTGCACTCATTTGCATGAGTCTCAGTCAGTGCTTTATCCTGACATCACCCATCCTTCACCCTTTTATCCTCTCTCTGAGGTATTTTAGAAGTGAAACTTTTAAGCCCAGAGGTCCACTGGTATCCCCAGTTCTGACCAGAAGGTGCTGCACTGAGGCTTTTTCTGTCTCTTCATCTCCATGCCTCTGTCTCATCTAGGGATGATCTCTGGGTGCTTCCTACATATCCCGGACCTGAGGGAGGGCACGTGTATTGATTTATGTTTTCCTTTTTAACTCTTGTTTCCTTTCACCTGCCTCCCCAAGTGATGTCTGCGCTAATTTGTTCACAGGCCGTTAACTCCTGAGTGCTGGGAGAACCCATCCCGGCCCTTGCAAGAAGCTGCAATTCACCAGGTTGTAATTCTCACCCCTTATCTCCCCTGTGGGTGATGTGGCTTCTGTTTTCATTTCAGATGATGACTGCACCAACTCCTTCACGCCCAACCAAGTGGCCAGGATGCATTGCTACTTGGACCTCGTCTATCAGAGCTGGCAGCCTGCGAAGAAACCAGCTCCTATTGCAATTGCCCCACAGATTGTGGCTCGGAGCTCCACCTCTGTCACCCTGGAGTGGTTCCCACCCATTGATGGCCACTTCTTTGAAAGGTGATCACGCGCTGCTCCGTACTGTTGCACTGAATTGAATGGGAAGGGGAGAAGGAGGGAAACAACCCAGGACCCCTGCCCGGGAGCGCAGCTTTATCATGTGCTGTGCTCAGTCTGGATTAAGGCTTCATCCTAAATTGGTTCATACCGAGGAGGTTATTGATCTGTTTTCTGCTCTTCCTTTCTCAGCCTGTAGCGCTCGGTTGAGGGCCATTGATTTGCCATGTAAAGGGCAAATCTTTTCTTCCTCCTTATGTTGTGGGAGGTATTTTCAATCAAGGATTCAGGCCCTGTGATTCCCGCTGTTATTGCTGCTCACAAATACCTGTGGGCTTCAGCTATGCCTGCATGTCTCCCCCACCCCTCCTCTTGCACATTTCCTTTCCAAGGACAAAGTGAATCGTGTTTCTACTCCTGTGACAGCTCTCGCTCACAGGCAGTGGTGTCTCACAGGGTAAGGAGGTGGCCATCTGGGGAGGGGGACAAATGCTGCCCCGTTCCCTGAGTTGCAGGTCTGAGATGGGAATTGAGCAAGGCAGAGTCAAAAACCTGCAACCTTGAGTATCATGTGAGTGTCATCTTCTTGCAGCCCAAGTTGAGCCTGTAGGTCAGAGTAAGTGTGTATGTGTTCATGTCTGATAGGCAAGCAGCTATGTGCTACCGATAATGAAGGATTAAATGAATGTAGGGCTCTGGACAAGAGCTGCACCACACTGAGCAAGTCTACCCTGGGATGACCTGAGCAACTGGATAGATCTAAATACTCTTAGGCAGTGCTTGCATGAGCCACAGGAGCCATGGGAATGCTAGGAAAGAACTTCCTAAATGACTGACCTTCTTGTGTTACCATTAACTCACCTGCCCTGTTTGAGTTCCTCCTCTGCTGTTTGCTTTGTTATAAGAGAGCAAACTGAGTGTCCTTCAGCACTGTAGCAGTTCCTATCACAGGAGGCCGAATTTACAAGCATATTAGTACCCAAAGAGCTGTCTCAGCGCTGCTGCTCCCTTCAGTGGGAGCACCTTGAAAGCCACTGCCTCCATCAGGGATGAAACGCCTTCCACTGCTTAGGACACTGTGACCAGTTCAGTGGCCAGCTTATGCTTTACCTGAGCAGGCAGATAGCTGTTTTTTTCTGCTCAGATGGGGTTTTCCACCTTTACTGCAGGTTCACACAGGGAAAGGCAATCAAATCGTCTTCGGAGTTGATAGAGAGAGGTCTTGTGCTCTGAGCAGTGTTTGCTTTAATTGCAGTTTTGCAACTGGAGCCCTTTATTCCCTACGTGTGAAAAAGGCCTTATGTGAAGCTCTGAAAATTAATTCAGAATTGTTTAGCCCATAACCATTTCTAGGTAAATTAAGTTTCTCCAATTTAATTTAGATTTCAGAAGATGCTTATTGTGTGTTAAATAAATACCATCTGCCTCTTAAGACACATTGATGCAGAGTTAATTGTTATGTAACCGAATATGTCTTTATTACATATTTCTTATAACTCAATCAATATGTTCTTAATAACCCCTAGTTAGTTGCTTCTTAAATAACATCCAGTGGATAGCCTGCAAAATCTAAAATTTCATAACAGAGTTATCATATGTTAAATAAATAGTGATTTTCTAGAGAAAAAAAGGTCCTTTGGGTTTTCAAATCTGTGTGCTCAGTATTACTGAACAGATTTAAAGAGACAGCCTCAAATACTTTGAGTCCAGTTCTTGTTACACTGAGATTTCCAGTGCTAACAGATATGGAAATGCTGTGACCATTTAAAAATGTCACCAAAATATATAAACGATTCTGTCTAAAACACATCCAAGTTTCTGTTATATTAAGCAAAACAAGGACGATGTTAGTATTATAGTGGCTAATGCAGAAGAGCTCATGTGCTGTACTTCCAGTCCCACCGTGTCCAGCACTGCTCAGTTAGAGATACGTGCCTCTATCAGTTTGTAGAATTGGGTCACTGTGCAAGACAAGTAGGAGGTAAAATTGGCCAAGTATAATCTTATCTGTGTGTGGGAATACTGTAAATCTTTGCAGATATTTTTACACAAAGTGCACACCATGGCCCAAATTTTACTTGCCTCACTTGAATGAATAAACTCATTCACTTCAATGGGACTATTCATGTAAAAAACAGAAGACTGATACTCAACTGCTGAGTGCCTTGGGCCTGGTTTCTAATGCACAGAGGCCCTTTCCATGCTGTTTTGACAGTGTAAAAGGGCCTTAAAAGGCTGAATGGCTCTGGCTACATTAGCAAGTATTGTGGCCCAATATAAGTAGTGCAAAGCAGTTGTTAATGAAGACATGACGTCAACACTGTTGGGGTTCTGGGGGATGGTTTTAGCCTAGATCTAGCCTGGCCCATGGCATCAACAGTTGGAGCACACCAGGTGTGGTCCTGGATCACATCAAGTGTGGTCCTGGAGCACGTCTCAGCTCTGGTTTCAGGCAAAACTGGGTCCAGCTTCCATGCTCCAGGACTGCTCCGAGTGCTCTAAGTGGGGAAGATGAAGAGTTTCACTTCAAAAGCTTGCTCCTGATCCAAATTACCATGCTACTGTAGGCGCACTCAGAGTAACTCAAGTTCCTTTTATGTCCCTTTTATTCTCTAGAGCTGTGCATAGGCAGTGACCTCTGCTTAATGAAAGTCAGGAAGGGAAAATTCAGCCTTGTGTTTAAAAATGTAGTGCTGGGCTGGCTGTAACCATGGCTGAGGTCCTGATATGTCTGCAGTTCAATGGAGATGAAGCATGGAAGTAAAAACCATGTGCTGCTTCTCTGTTTAGATGCAGCTTTGTCACTGGTGGCACAGTATTATGTAGTATTATTTAGGGACCTCAGTTCTAGGAATTATATGATTAATTATGTGGATCTGGGGACAGAGAGCAATACTAACTCTTAGTTCATGTCAAGTTTGGGGGTTGGCTATCCCCACACCTTGGCAAGAGTAGCCCTAGGAGTTGTGCACAGTAGATTCTTCTCCCTGACAGCCTCTCCTTACCTGTTTAGTGTGTTCAGTTGAGGGCTTCTATATTACACTAGAGAGTCATTTACCTGCACATAAATTTGCCAACATGTGTTTGACCCTGAACTGCAGCAACTGGTTGGTCTTCTAAACATCTCTAATACTCAAACATATCAAGAACCAGCATTTCCTCTTGTAGCTACTACACAGAGGATTGGAATACTTACCATTCTCCATCCTCCTCCATGAAAACCCTCGCATGCACATACAATAATGTGTGATAATCAAATAATAATAGAGCCAACAAAACAAGTGAAAACAAGTGAGAAGAAGAAAACTCTCTTCATTTCCTGGCTGCATCTATTAGATGCGTTCATCTGCTGTCGCTAAGCATCCATTCATGTGCCTCCTGTTTGATATGCATAGGCAGGATGTAAACAGTTATTGTAATAGGGCTCGGCAGCAAATTCTGCTTGGACAGAAAACTTTGAATGCATCTGCTCTTCCAAGTTTTCATTGAGGTGACTGCATTAATTTCCATGAATCTGATGCTATCTTGTTCTTAGCAAGCAAATATTTTGGTCAGTATGGCGTCCCAGATCTAGATGGCTGGGCTTGATATTCACTTGTTTAAACCTCGCTGGAAAGTTTCAGTGCCTTACAGGAGGGCAGAGCACCAATTCTGAATTTCAAGCAAGCAGGTACAATTTGATCTGGAAACAGACACTTTTCCTTGGAAGGAATGACAGATTTTAGCTGGGTTTGAGTTGCGCGTTGAACTGGTGCTGGCCCTGCAGAGAATTGTCTGGTTTTCAGTAGTAAGCTTTAGATTTGGAATCCACTTCCCTGGAATATCATGCTGGAGGAATGAATTCCTCCTGCGCTCTGAACTTTGTAAGCTGGAATTTCCCCAGTACTTGGCTTATTAGAAAACAGAAAAGTCTAGATTTTCCATTACCCTGCACTTCGGGGAGTCATGTGCATCGGTGTCTAAGGTGTCAGATATGCTATCGTTCCTAATTAATAGTGTTTTGAACCAATTCACGCTCATTTTGTCTTGATGTCAGGGGCTGCATAAGGTGTAAGGATCTGGCTTAGATTTTCACAAGCCTGTAAATGTGATTCCATAATTAGTTTTGACATTCATGGCTCTTTGTAGGATTTGTGTGCAAAAGTCTCAAGACCAAAAGCTTTAACCCAAGAGTCATCCCCTGTGTAACTCCTTTCAGCCAGTGGAGTTACATCAGGGTTGCGTTTGGCTCCCAGATTGGAAAAGTAAAAAGAGAAAGTTTGCTCATAGCCTTTCCCACATGATGCTCCTTGTGATTCTTCTTACCTCCAAGTCCTTGCTGGTAAAAGGAAATGTTTGTCCATAAGACTACAGTTTTTTCCACCATGGCAGCCTGTGATGAAATTGTATAGCTGCTAATTTGAGTAAAAAGCAGTCCTAATTGTGGAAACTTGGCTTTCAAAGCCCTGTCCTCATCCAGGCCCAAGTGCGAATGCAGGAGTACAGAACTGGAAGATTATTATTGCAGGGACTTCTATCCTGACTGTTGGTGGATGTATCTGAAAAGCAACTGCACCATAAGAATTGTACATTTTGATTTCCCTGTACCTTTTATTCTGGATTCTTGATTTTTATATGCATATTTATATGTAATATTTAGGCAAGCTGAGTTAGACCTTTCAACCGCTGTTAAATAGGTAGCTGAGAAACAAAGTAGGGAGGCAGTGTCATACCAATGGTGCAGGTGGGTGAAGTGAGACAGAGAAGGAAGTTATCCACAACGTGCCCAAATTTATTCCTTACCAGTGTTACAGATCATGCAAGGAAGAGGAGGGCAGCTCTGCCTCCCTCTTCTGTATTCCACCCCATTGCCACATTTCACTCTTCAGATGTTTTCAGCAGGTGCATCCCTTTCTGTACTGTCTACGAGTTCAGTCATCCACGGTCCCTTCGTAGGGGTGGCTCTGGGCCATGTTGAAATGGATACAAGTTTTACCAGCGATGTCATTCCCAGACCCCCCGCTGACAATCCCTGCTTCCACCTAATTAAGCCAACAGCAAGTTGACTTTCAAATAGATCCCTGCCAACAAACAGGAGATGCTAAGCTGAGGAGCAGCTGAGCGTGTGTCATCCCTACCACCAACAGTCTGGGAGGGCTGTGAGAGTAAATTTACAGTCCCGGTGTCCTCACTGAGGATCCAAAATAGCTTCTGCCTGAGGAACACAGTGCCCTTCGCAGAGCAGTGCTGAAATAACCCGTGCGATGGGGGACGGGTAACATTCGTGGAGCTGATTATAATAATTGACGTTAATTATAATAATTGACTCAATCCATACTTACCTGGGTAGCTTAAAGAGTGCACTGGGTGTTACACACGGTGTTTGCCTAAAACTTCAGGCCTTTCCTAGGTGCATCTAACCATTAACATTATTAATTCCTTTCATTTTGAGTGGGCAGTTGCCTTAAATCAGAACAATGAATTCTGAATCATGAGCAACTTACTGGGATGAATAACCACAGTTTCTAGGTTGTACACAGTTCCACATGTTGTGACCCTGAGGAATGTAGGGCTGAGCTGTGTGAGATGCATCCTCAGCTGATAGAAATCAGCTTAATGTTATGGAAGATATTGGAGTTACTCCAGTCTACATCAGCTTAAACCCTGATCTTGGGAATGCATTAATGAAAATATTTGTGATTCAGTGTTTAACCGGGCTTTCCTGTTCAACCGCTTCTGCTGATAGTACTTGATTGACAGTAGCTGGTATTAGATGTATTGTGTAGGTGAAGTAATGCTGGTGTTGGGCAGTGAAGTACCTTTCTCAATGCCATGTCATGCCATCGGATGGTGTGGAGCCGCAAGATGTTCCAGTTCAGAAGGATCCATGCAGTGGTGCCAAAGCTGCCAGGATTAAGGACATGTTCTTTTCTGTATGTTCATAACCCACCCCTTTTCCAGGCTTGCAATGATCTGGGCTGTGATGCACCTCCAAAAGCAGGTCCTTGCATACATAGCTGTGCTTCACAAAGCAATTCTACCTGGTGTTCTCAGAGCCTGGGACTTTGCTCTCTCCTCTCATCACCAGTAAGCCCACGGCCTTCACAGTCACAGAATCCCAGACTGGTTTGGGTTGGAAAGGACCTTAAAGCTCATCCAGTTCCAACCCCTGCTACAGGCAGGGACACCTTCCACTAGAGCAGCTTGCTCCAAGCCCCTGTGTCCAACCTGGCCTTGAACACTGCCAGGGATGGGGCAGCCACAGCTTCTCTGGGCACCCTGTGCCAGCGCCTCAGCACCCTCACAGGGAAGATACAAACCTGAAGATGCTACAAGTTCCAGCAATAAATCCATGGCAGGAGCAGAAATAGATCTGAAATCTCCTGAGGCCAGTTTCCCTGCTCTAACCACTAAGCAATATGTATTTTCTTTTGTCATGGTTTGATCCAGTTGTAGTGCAGGGGAGAAAAAAGAAATCTAGCTGAGCATGTTTTCACAGGTTGCTGTTGTTTTGTGTTGGATTGGAGGGCTCACAGATGCCATCTACACAGGCTGTTAGCCCAAACCTACAGAAGGTCAGCATCAGAAAACACTCTTGTCAGTGCCTTGAGAAAAGAGGGTTAAGTGGAACTGAATTCTAAGTTTTATTGCTTTTAATAGAGTTGAATAAGCAGCTCATTCAGCTGTTACTAAGTTGGTGTGTTTTCCTGTTTTCCTGGCCTCCTAGAGAAGTGGGATCAGCATGTGATCTGTGTGCAGAAGGAAGAGTCCTGGTGCAGTATGCCTTCAGCGCCTCCTCTCCGATGCCCTGCGATCCCTCGGGACACTGGAGCCCTCGGGAAGCAGAAGGTGAGTCACAGGGCTGGGGATAAAGATGTGGTGGAGAAGATGGGACAGAACAAAAGGAGACCCCCAAAGATAGTGGGAAAATCCGTGAGAGAGTGACAGTTTATGCAGAACCAGAGGACAGATGACTGCGCTGTGCCCTGAGGTAATGCTGCTGGCTGAAATACCTGTGTTTTGCCTCCCATGTCCTGCCCCTGCCCATGAATTAAATGAATTCCGGGAGCTGAACCTGAATTTCAGAAAGCAGCACAGTGCCAAGAAGTGCTGACCATTCACAGCTGCCAGCTGAATCCCTCAGGGGAGCTGCTTACTCCTACTCCAACTCCAAAAGTGAAGAATTGCAAGAAATGCATTGCACTGGGTCTGATTTCTGCTGCTTTCATTTGTGTTCAATAGCAGTGGCTGCACCAGCAGACAGGCTGAATGGAGCTTGCCCTTTGGGCAAGTACTCTACAGCATCAACACGGGACTATATCAAGCCCTGTCTAGGTCAGGGTGTTTGGAAGTCATTCTTAATGTATTGGAGGGAGAATGGTCTGTAGGGCTGGTTGTACAATGCCATTAGATGTCCATCATGCAGTCTTCTTCCATTACGTAAGCAGGTGGATGCGGTTGAGCATACTCAATACCAGGTAGAGCTCAGTAATCACAGATTATGGTTTGAAAAGAACATAGTGTTATTTCAGTCTGTCCATCACAAGCTATTCCGTTGGGAGCAGCACACGTCGCTGTAAACACACAGGTGGGCTCACTGAGCTCAAAGGCCAATCCCTGGATTTTGAAAACTCATTATATAAAAACCTCCTTACATTAAGGGCTTCTCTGTTCTGCAGCTGGAGTAGGTGGGAGTTATTCTATAAGGACAATTATTTGAAGGCTAATATGGTGATATATGTAGTGATGGCACTCAAGAGCCGTCCCTAAGGGTCCTAAGGACAGCATGTGCAGCAAGCTGCATCCCTGCCACCTGATGGGATAAGATGTGTGGGCACGCGTCCTCTCCCTTGTGCACCCATCTCCAAGGGTGGGAACCCAACAGAGGTTTCAGTTCACCCCAGCGTTTGAAAAGGGACTTTTAACAAGGGCATGTTGGGACAGGACAAGGGGGAATGGCTGTAAACTGAATGAATGTAGATTTGGATAGGATATAAGGCAGAAGCTCTTCCCTGTGAGGGTGCTGAGGCACTGGCACAGGGTGCCCAGAGAAGCTGTGGCTGCCCCATCCCTGGCAGTGTTCAAGGCCAGGTTGGACACAGGGGCTTGGAGCAAGCTGCTCTAGTGGAAGGTGTCCCTGCCCATGGCAGGGGTTGGAGCTGGATGAGCTTTAAAGTCACTTCCAAGGCAAACTGTTCTATGAGTGTATGACACCTGAGGGGCAGGGGTACCAGGTATGGCACAGAGCACACCTGCCCCTTGGGTGGATATCATTCAAGAGCTCCATCCTAGGAAGCAGTGCTGTGGCTACAAGTGTGACTGGATTAAGAAGTAAACAGGATTAGCTAAATTTGGATCACTCACAGTAGTAGTGCAGGGTGGAAGGTGGAATTTCCACTTAGCCAAGGATTACAAGACTTTGAAACCTGGTTTCATTTGGAACAAAACCTGAAACTTTTGAAAGTCTTCATGAAGGAAAATTAAAAACAAAAAGTGTTTGAGGCTGGCCAAAATGTTTTGTTTAGCTCATAAAATTCCTCTTTCAGGAACTTTGGTTAAATTATGACATTTTAAAATATCCCTTTTTAGTATATAATCTAGGGCAAAAGCAACTTTTAATATCCAACTGAAAAGTGTTTCAAAGGGCAAAAGTGAAACAATTTCTTCCCAAAATGTCAAAACACAATATTCCAATATTGTTAGAACTTTCTTCCTGTTTTCTCAAAATAAAATTTTGGCCAGATAACCCAAATTTGTCAGTGTGTTTTGCTTTTGAGAGAACTTCATATTCCATTGAGATATGCAGTTCTGTCAAAATCTCTCCAATGAGCTCTGATTTGAAACCTTCCACATCTCACACGTCTTGCCAGCAGCATCATTCCTAGAGAAACTGAGCTGCTTGAAGATTTATTACTCAGCTGCATTTTGCATTTAATTTCCTCTTCTTACAGTGTGTGCCTGCATGTTCTTAATTCTGAAAGGTGCAGCCTGATCCTTATCTGTCGCCTACAATTGTTGTGGTGCCATTGCTCTGGAAAGAAAATTTGGTAACCCTATCCCCTTACTACGTTAATAGTTGTCTCCACTTCAGGGTAGAAAAAGTACCAAGTGTATGGTATTTGGTGCTCTCTAATTTTCTGTCATCACTAGCACACTCCCTGACGTTCAGGATCTTTGCCTATTCGCACTTGGTCTGAGTTACAAATAGCACAGTTAGGTCATTGTCTGGCTTCTTTAATTGTCTATCTGCGAGTACTCAAGCACGCAAGCTTTAAATCCACTTTCTGCAAGCGTTCATGTGTGTAAATCTCCACTGCTTGAGTGTTCATGGAAAGTGAATACAAAAGAGGCATGAGCATGGCCAAAATGAACTCATTTTACAATTTGAGACGACACTCATGGAAAATGTTTCGTAGTACTCCAACTTCTTACCAGAAATCCACACTTCTCACATGTCTCCAGAGCAGCTCTCAACCTGGTTGGTTTGATTTCATTTTCCTGAGGCCTCATAGTGGTGATGCTGCTCAGTTACTCCAGGTAGCTGACACCAGCTGTGGTCTGGCCTACGTGTGAGCCATGCCCATTGCAGAATGCACCCTTCCTAATGTCCAGCTTCTGCCTGAGCGTGGTGGTGTCCAACCCTCTGGGATGAGATGTTTTATGTCTCTTTCTCAGCTAGTCATGCCCCTCATGTAGGGGCTGTTTGCTCCTTGGCAGTGGTGGTGGGAAGGCACTGGAGATGAGGCAGCTCTGGTTTACTCTTTACCTTCACATGGAGCAGGAAAGCTCTGACTTACCTGGATTCTCACCAGCAGCACCATCTAGGCAAACAAACATTACAACCCTGCCACAATGCAGTCAAAGGGGATTTTTATATAAGAAAGGTGGTTCTGGCTCCAACCCAAAGTGCCTTTGCTTTCTGTGCAATATATGCATATATCAGTCAATTCCTACTGCCTGGCTCACTATTGACTAAGAGAAGTGTGATAATGTAATACAAAATGTTGCTCCCTTTGGCTGCTCTAGCGCCCTGCCTTTCCCAGTAGCCAGTGTTTCACTTGAGAGTGATTCATTCTGTATTTGCAAATGGAATTGTCTCAGTTGGACATTAGAGTCCAGCTCTCTAACCAGGAGATGGGGTTTGGCTTCTCCTCACAAACCTCAAGTTCACATGTTGTGTTAGGCAAGGCATGATGTTGCATGAGATGCTCTTCTAGGACCGATCTTACTGGTGACTTCATAAGCCAAAGGGTTTTCAGAACCTATTCTTTTTGCAAACAAAATTTTTTGTAATATTCATAGTATTTATCAATCTCTAGGAATCTGGGATTTCACGGAATGGGTTTCCATCCTCTTCCACAATTAAATGGATGCTTCTTACCCAGGTCTAAGTGTTTGATGATAGTTTAGGAAAGGTTTCTATCTCAACTTCATTGAGGTTTTTCATCTATGGATGGCTACAATCAAGCTCCCATTTTGGGTTGTTCAACGCCCTGGAGGCTGAGTCCAGTTCATGTAACTCCAGTGATCGCATCCTGATCTATCAGAACATGTAGGTTCATTCACTATTTAAGTCTTACAGAAGCACTGAAGTGGTAGAGGTGAAACTGCAGGAACCCTGGCGGTTCAGAACCATACTGGGCTGTGAGCCACTGTTGCAAGATGGCAGTGATGAGATTCATGGATCTTTCCAAAGCCCTCTGAGATAGCAGGGATAAAAAACACCTTCTGATCATGCACAGTGTGTGCTGGGGGGGAAGCCTGAATTGAAATGGACCTCTGGCTTTCTTCACAACATATCGCTACTGAGGTCTCTCCAGATCCTGAGGTTAGTGGCATTCCCACTGCTCTGTGGCATGTGCAGAGGAGAGAAGGGTGATGGGACAAGTGAGGGTGAGGGGGAAGCATTAAAAGCTGTGCATCTGCAGGACAACTGGTTGGATCACTGGGGTGACTGCCTGAGACACCAGGAAATCTATTCTGCATCTGGGTTCATTTGGTCTGAAGTGGAGAATTCCCTGCGCCATTTATCCTTGACAAAAGAGGCACATTTCTAACACTTCACTGGATCACAGACAATAAGAATAACCTTCCCACATTGCCCTTTCCTCTTCAAATTAGTAGTGATGTCCTGTTTGTTCATGTTTGCCCAGTGCTTTATCTTGCTTTCTTCCTCAGTTGCAAACAGCTGTGCTCTCTTTTTTCCCCTCTGCCTTCTCCATTTCTCCCCTCTCATTACCTTTCTTTATCTTTACTTTTCCCTTTCTTCTTTTCTGTACTTTGCCTTCTCCCTCTCATGCTTGCTCCCTTTTTGTGTGATTATTTGGGAAGGAAGGGGGAATTCATAGCTCTCACTGGATTCTGTTACCAACTGTTCCACCCATCTGACCTCTCTGGATCTTGCAGTCCATGACTCGGTGCCAAATTGTAATGTTACCATAGTATTTGGGAACCCAGCAAGCATTGTGGCTTTCATTAGTTTTTAGTAATACCTCCCATGCAGTTGAACATAGCCAATGGTGAGAAAGTGCCCGTTTCATGGCACTGAGTGCAAAGAGACAGCTCAGTCCTGTGCTCCATGTCCCTCCAAAAAGAGGGGTCTTACACAACAAGATAGATGAGCCTGTAAATGGCATAGGAGTTGTCCCTCAACAGCACGGTGCAACAGCTGCTTGGAATCAACAAAAGCTCTTTTCTTGTCTTTGCTGTAGAGAACAAGGTTGTATTTTAGAGAGGCAAGGGAATAAGTAGGAGCACCGAGGTGAACTGAAGGAAAAGTGACTCTATTTGTCAGGTAAAGTACCAAGTAGAAGGAGCAGAAAATATTGTTTGGCACAGGAGAAAGCACTAGAAATAGCAAATACAGGACCAGATGCACTGGCACAATGTGTTGTGGAGTGTCCAGTCCGGCTGGGCACTTAAGCTGGGTTTGCATCTCTCACCCAGCCAGGAGACATTGGAGTTATATTCCTCCTTTCCATGCTAGCCATGCCTGTTCTGCTCAAGTAAATAGTTTCCTTGACAGATTTGCTCTTCTGCCACGTTTGTCTTTGAAGACTGATGCCAGTGGTAAACCCATAGCTCTTAAAGCCCTGCCTTTGCTTCTTTCTTTCCAGGGCACCCTGATGTTGAGCAGCCTTGTAAATCCAGTGTCAGAACATGGAGTCCCAACTCAGCTGTCAACCAACACACGGTGCCCCCGGCCTGTCCCGAGCCTCAGGGCTGCTACCTTCAGTTGGAATTCCGCTATCCCCTGACTCCAGAGTCCCTCACAGTGTGGGTGACATTTGTTTCCCCTGACTGGGACTCCAGTGGGGCGGTGAACGACATCAAGTTGCTCACCATCAGTGGCAAGAACATTTCTCTCGGGCCACAGAACGTCTTCTGTGACATCCCATTGACCATAAAGCTGGATGCGGGACAAGTGGAAGAGGAGGTGTACGGGATCCAGATCTACACTCTGGATGAGCACCTGGAAATTGATGCTGCCATGCTGAGCTCTGTCCCTCAGAGCACGCTGTGTGCAGACTGCAGACCCATCCAGTACAAAGTGGTTCGGGACCCTCCTTTCCAGTCTGGATCTCCAGTTGTCATCTCAAACCTCAGCAGGAGATTTGTTGACACGTAAGTACTGCTTCCCAGAGACCTGAATAGACTTGTTCAGGGAAAAACAGTAACCTCTTCTGCTCATTCTTCTACTGTCCAGCACTGACGGTTGGATAGACATACCAAGTGTCACCAAGAGAGGATGTTCTCATAGTTTCTCTGTGGAAGCAGGATTATCATACTCAGATGAAATAAGCCTGAGATTTCACAGATAGTTTTTGAGATATTTCTGGGCAGAGACATAAAATTCAGGCTTTCCTTAACTGGAACGGATATTGCAAACTACCTAAGCTATGATAAGTTAAATGTTTAAGATAACCTAAATGAGGACCTCTGGAGTAGCATAGAATCATTTCTGTAGAAATCTTCTGAAAGTAATATTTTTGATGGAGAAGGAGAGAGGATGGCTCTCAGTGCTGGAGCACCAATTCACTGCTAAAGAAAGAGGGCAACAAAATACACTTTCAGTTCCAGTCTATAAATGTATTTAATCCACTTTCATGTTCTGCTTTCATGTGTCACTAAAACAAATTGTGTTGGAGTGAGGTCATTCTAACCTAGTAAACATGCCAAATACACTAGTTTGTTGCAGTAGGAATGGAGTTTCATCCCAGATGCAGTTATGCATCAAGGAATGCATGATTGTTGAGGAAAGTCCAACTTCCAAATATTTACTGATTTCAAGGAGATCCATGATCTACCCATAAGCATTCTACAGCAGCAAGAAAAAACATCCTCTGCCTAGCATGATTCCCTGGAAATGATTCACTCATCTGTGGGAGCAACATGAAACTCTCTTGAAAAATGAACCCCAGATAAAAGGAAACCTGCTAAGAAAACTGCACTCTAATTTAGAGAAGATGATCTAATTAGTAGAGCTAATACCAAGGAAGCATACATCATTATGGTCTTCTAAAGCATATTTAAATATAATAAAAATGAGTAATTAACAATTCAGTAATCATGAGCTCCCAGCCCTTTCATGGCCCAATTATACAGCTCAGAAGATGCAAATTGCCCCTATGGATTTAAAAATGCAAGGTAGCTAACAATAGAGAATACAAAAACAGAAACCCAGGACATCACTGAGATTACTCATGTGCTGAAAGTTAAGCATGTGCTGAAGTGCTTTCTTGGGTTGTAGCCTTGTTCCAACAATTGCTGGCACTTAACATGAGATGAATATTGGCATTTTGGAAACACGGAAAATGGTGAATTTTCCCATGGTTTTGCTGTGAAAGCATCTTTGCCTAAAACCTGGCCCACTCTCCTTGGAAAATGGGACTGGTTTGGGTTGAAATATTTGCATACCTTAGCACAAGTTCCCACAGAAACAGGTCCAATTTCGAGTTCATAACAAAATGTGAGAGAAAAGAAAAAGCCCAAAATATAGCCTGTGCTCTGAGTTCTGTTTCTTGGGCTTTTATTATGATTTTGTGGGTCACTTACAGGTAGCTGAAGTGAAAGGGTGCTCTAATAGTTAAAGCAGTAGCCAGGGAGTAATGACAGTTTTCATTGGATAAATCACAAGGGGTAACAGTACTGTACTTGTCTTGTGTCTCACCTAGTTACATCGCCAGCTAAAAATCACACATAGCATTGAAGTGAGTCTTTCTGGGCTCCACCTGTGATCGGTAGCTCCAGTCTAGCTGGCCTCAGCTCATCTGTGTCTTTCCAGGGACAACAGGGAAAATCCTGACAGTAAGCTTCAATAAGACACATGGAAAGTGAAATCTTGATTTAGTCACAGGGTAAGGAGATGCAGATTCTTAAGCGCTTGTGACTGGTTTTTGGTTCAGTACTTATGCATTCATTGGAAAGTTTGAAATGGGAGTTGAGTTTTGGCATCCTAATACACAGATGTGCCAACAGGGATCCAGATCCTGTGGGTTTGGGGGTATCATGCAGATTCATAGGTTGATGGTGTATGTCCAGGCTGCTGCTGGGCCATACCTTGAGATTCAGTAAACTCGTTGAATCTCTGTGTGTAGTTGTGGTTCTGTGATAGAGGCAGAATGCCCCATCCCTGTCAGTGTTCAACACCAGGTTGGAAGGGGCTTGGAGCAACATGCTCTAGTGGAAGGTGCCCCTGCCAATGGCAGGGGGTTGGAACTGGATGAGCTTTGAGGTCCCTTACAACACAAACCATTCTATGAATTTTCATTAGCATCTTGTGCAAAGAGTAGCTATAGTCCTTATACTTTGTAAGCAGGAAAGAAGGGAAGATGCTTCAGGGGAGTCAGGGACAGAGGTGTTGGGCTGTGCTCCTATGTATATATAATGCAGTCTGCCTGTTTGTCACATTCTGTACAGCTGTAATTCAGCATATCTGTGCAACCAGACTTTGCAGCCCCTTTATCTCTCTGTAAGCCCCAAGCTTGTTATCCCTCCTTTATGCTTTTTCATGTTTTCCATGTTAAATGACACCCCCACATGTTCTATGGAAGGTTATTTTGAAGGCAGTCACATATCTTTACTCCTGCCTCCTCTGACCTTGATCTTCACTTTCTCTTTTTCTCCCAAAGGAAATATTTGCTTGCACTGTTATCTGTGAGCAAGATCCTTTCCCCAGGTGTGGAATGCTGAAAGAAAAATTCATTTCTCCTACCTTCTTCCCATCAAAGAGAAGGAACTTCTCTTTAAGCTGAGAGGCAGCCTTTAATGGTTAGCCCTTGCCTAGTCAGCACTGGGCGCTCCGCAGAGGAGAGTAAATAACTATAATAGTGGAAACCTGTTTATTAAGAAATACAAAATAATGGGAGACCTTCTGTTCTCAAGCTGAATTTTCTTCACAGCTCTTGGCTGAAGTTAAGGGACAGGATCGTATCCTTGGCCCTTACAGAAAGCAGGCCAGGTAGACTCAATTCCACTGAGTATGATCAGCCAGAACTGCTGGTATCTGTGATACAAAATGAGAGTCGGAGCCTAGGAAGAGAGCAGAAAGCTAAATAAATCAGTGGGGAGGGGGGGGAAAGAGGTCAGGCCAGGTGCAGCACAGAACTGCTGAGTCTTCACACCACAGCGAGTGATAAGGAGGGAGCCTCATCTGCAAGTCTCAAAGTCTCAGCTCACAATTTAATCCCAAGTGTGGGTTGTGCTCGTACGTAGAGGGTTGCACTCTGGCTGTTCTCTAGAAATAATGTGCAAGATAGTCACAATGGTGAACATGGTAATGGCTTTGCCCTCCCTTTGCCCTTACTGTAGCGCTTTTTACACTCACAGGGCTGCAGTTGGAAGGTAATCACTGCTCTTGCATTCGTTTGTAGCAAGCACTGATTTTTTTTAAAGAGCTCAGTGGGAAGTGAATGCCCACAATGAGATGCTGTGCTGAGGATGTCACAGGTCAGTCCCATGGCGGGGGAGCAGCCCATGTTCCCCATTGCACTGTCAGTAGCCAAATATGCAAGGTGTGAGCAGCCGGGCGTGCTGGTGAGATCTGTGCTCTCCCCTCTGGCAGGCCAAGCCAAGAGACACTGAGGTTGGGTTTGGAAAGCTGTCAGAATAACTGGAAAAGTTTCTAAGAATTGGGAATTTTCCCAACTCTTCTGCCACAGACTTTGTAGGGACCCTTAAAATGTAGTGGACGATGATGGATCAGGTCATCTTTGTGGTGTTAACCTGTAGGCTTTTTTCAAGACAAAGGGATGGACTGAAATGACCTTAAAAGGAATCCCAGCATGAAGCCCTAGTATGGATTTGGGTTTTGCAGAGTTGAGCATCGCTGAGACACAAGTATGGTGTCCTTTGCTATATTCAGCTGAGCCATTCCTACTCTGACTACACTAGTACCTAAGTGGCACCTAAAGATACTCCTTGAAAAGAAAGAAAAGGGAGAGACTGAGAGGAAAACTTCATTTTCTCATGCAGGGAATATGGTTCTCTTCTCAGTTTTGGGATATTTTAAAGCTGTTTTCTATGGCTGGACCTTCTCTGTTGCTTGATAATGGTTGGAGGGGACTGGTTGTCATCTGTGTCCAGTTGTTATTTAATTAAATACATTTTCATGTATCTTATTAGAATCAGGAGTTCCATTCGTGTTAAACTGTGGTTTAACTGTACCCAAGAGTGCAGATAACACTTGGGCTTCTTGGAGTGATTGCAAAATTACTGAGAGATTGCCATCATCAAGTTTGCAGGTAGCTGGAGAGTGGTGGTGGCATGTTCAGGGGTCCTTAGCACATCGTGTACTTCATCTGAAACAACTGTTTGTTTCAAAGTTTGCTTTATTGATGCTGTTGCCCTTGTTACTGGTCTCCAGTCAGAAGGGCATATGATGAGTGACTTGTCAGGAACTCCAGATGATGAGTAGTTGAAGGAGATGGCAAACGGTTCTTAGTCTGAAGGCTCCTACAAGTATGAACAAGCAGAAAAGCTGGAGGATCAGCAGTTGCTATTTATAACGAGTAGTAATTCATTACAGCCAAATACTGGTGTGCCTTTCAGCCCCTGAACTCAATAGGAAGATGGAGGTTACAGGATAGGGGCCCAGCTGAAAAGAGGATTGGAAAAATATGATGATCATAATGATGATGGGTAAACTTAAGTCCCTGCTGAATGCAACACTAAAATTTCATGGTGACATCTGTCCTTATTATGGCATTCCTTCCTTCATCTTGAAGATCTATCTCTCTGTTTTCTGAAGGTCTACCAGCCAAAGGAATGTATGATCTAAAGCAGCTGAAATGAATTGCCAGATCCATCTGTCATGAAGATAATTAACACCATATTTCCACCCGAACAAGATACAGATCACTGGGTGGATGTTCTCCCAACACCAAAAGCTGAATCCCATACTATCACCATCTTCTGCTCACCCCTCCTCCATGGTTACCATGCCAAACCTCTCTTGATATGCCAGGAAATATTGGGGAATATCAAAGATAGGCCTGAAATGTTAAGAAAGCACTTTACATATCCAGATTTATCTGCAAGAGCTGCTAGGTTGTCCGTGCGATAACGGCATGCTGCACATCTGGATTCGCAACAGGCTTCAGAACTGTATACGGTATTCCAGATGT